CACGCGCACAATATTGCGCAACACGCCAGCCGCCAGCCGGCGCACCGAGACATTCTCAGAAATGAAACACACACGGGGAGAGTATGTACACCCCTTGCCACAGCCTCTTGCCAAGCCAACGGGCGAACAATTTAAACAGTTGTATTCTGATTCAAGATTGGCTAATCGCCATCCCTTCCATGCCCCGAGAGTCTCTGAGTAAACACCATTCGAGCCAGACGTTACTCGAACTCCGTGATGAAGATACACGTTAAACGAACCTTACGAAGCATGTAGCTTCATTTTGTATCTTTTGAAGTTAATTGTGCAAATCGCTTGAGAACTACTGGGCGGCAGTGACTCGAACGCATACGCGGGTCGGCCTGGTGACTGCGAAGCAGATTAACAATCTTATTTAATTAGTACTCCAACGTTAAGCTCTTGTGCAACTAAACGTGTCTCGCTCGTGTGGGTATTCACGAAAAGACTTACATCTGTTGTGTGCAAGGTGCAATAAGATCACAACGATCGAACTGTTATACTGTACTCCTGAGACTTGCCTTCTGGAATAAACAAAATAGGAACTGTGTGCCAACTGCTTGTTTTTATGAGATGAGAGGTCCAACCCCTACCAGCCAGTCTCCTTGAGCTAAGAAAGAGTTCGAATCTGCTGCACTGTTAAACCCAATTCAATTATCAATCCTTCATACAGTCCACTAATACTTTGACAAGTGCGGACGTCAATAGTATATAGTAACAAAGAATGAATCAAACAGTATGTGAGAAAGTACTCACTCTTCAACCGCATTAACATATTTTGAACTACTGTTTATCTGTGCATTCATTTTTACTCCCATTGCAGTTTCTGGAAAAGACAGAATACATTATTAAGGTAAATAATCAAATGTGAAATTCATTTGTTTCCAAAAACCGAAACATACCTATTTCTAACTCAATTTATAAACAAATAATAATGTCTTATATTTCCTCGTGCATTTTAAATGAAACGACGAAAAGTCGCGTACCACATATGACGTCGAGGGTAAGAAGTTTGACGAGCGGCCAAACGTCAAAAGCGGCACCCCCCGCGCGCTTCTGCAGCTGCCGCACGAACTCGTTCCCGCAGTTGAGGATGACGCTTTGGAATTGGTCGAGGATCTTGAAGTGGAACGCCGGGGTCAGCCTCTTGCGGCGCGATCGCCATTTATCTCCTGCGAAAGCAAACGAAAATGATTCGAGAATAATGAGTATAGATAATACCACGCGAGACCCGGAAAAAATGCTGGAAATAAGCATGAATTTTTGAATATTTACAACTCCATGCGTCCAACTACTGTGTGAGCTAGCTCCAAAGACAATTTAAACGTCAATATTTAAAAAAAATACATATCACTTGGTCCTTTGATATACATATTGTAAGATTTTTTTGCGGAAGATACATCTCGTATGATTTGGGGATTGCAGAGTATTGTTGTATAATAAAATGACTATTTGGTGATATTTCTTGTTATTTATATTTTATTTTCCGGGAAACTATTTACCGAAATAATACACATACTTACGAAAACAACGAATGACATGTGGCAATGAAATTACGAAATAGAAGTTAGTGGGAACATAAATTATAGTATTTTAATATTACCTAATCGTGATGCAAGAAAATACGTGCTGTTGAAGCACCAATAGTTTATTCTAATTCTACAGTAAGAAATACCTTACCTACGAAAGTCATTATTTGTCGCAAATGACTCAGCAGTCGATGCTACAATAAATAAATTTATAAAAAAGAAATACCAAATTTTGAACTTACCATGCGAAAGTAGTAGACCATCTCCTAGCCACGGTTCGAGAAACTTGTTGTATAGACGAGTTTTTTTCAAGAACTTATTCCCAGATAGAATTAGCTGAAAATATATCCCATGTGTAATAAAATTCAACTATAATGTACAAAAAATTTCTCTTGCACGTTGTAAGTACGTTTTCATTATATTGTGAATGTTGGAGAAACGTAAGTGCATATATTTTTAAGGAATATGGGGCATTAATATAACAGCATTATTATTTCATAAACTATTAAACACCACGAGTTATGCTTACCTCATTGTCTTTTGGATGCGTTGAACCAATTATCAAATACGGTCCAAGATAATAACGGTAGAGAGGAATATATATCTTCAATATTTTACATCCCCAGTTGAATATAGCTAGAAAAATACATTCAATTTCAAACCTCTTTACTCGTAATTAAAGTAGTAAATGTTTTAAAGAAATAAAAAAAACTTATATTTCCGCAGCATTTGATTAAAATATTCAGTCATTATTTCTCCGCATCTGCTTTTAAATTATAGAAAAGTGAAAACTTGAAATCGTGCGATCTTCAACGGGCTCATTAATTTGATCGTCATGTTTCTATTATAAACTTGCAGAATTATGTCTAAAGGTTGTTCAAAGGGCATCTAAAACCAACTTGTACAATTTTAACGGAAAGTTCCCACTATATATGTATTTTTCATTTTTAGTCTCTCAATAAAAATTCAATGAAAAAATTTATTTCTTTTAAAAAAGTCTACAGTCAGTACTCTCATATAAAATGATTTTACCTCATTATGAAATTTTTTTTAAATTTATTTATATTATATCACATTATAAGGAGCTGAGGTAATTAGCGACCATCATTATTTTAAGTATTATCAATATTTAAACTAAATATAATACGCATTAGGTACAATAGACCAAAAGAGTAGTGAATTCCAATATTTTTCACTTAACGAGTACTTTTAATAAATGTTTCCAAACCAGTAATTCTTAAACACTTTAGCAATAATTTACAACATTCAATTGAATTTAAATTTTCATATAGATCGCTTTTATTACCAAGAGCTTTTCTTATATTTTGAATATTTGAATGTTGTGGGACAATAAGATTGGTAATATGACTACTCCACTTCCTTCCATTTGCTGAAGGAAGTGGAGGAATCAAGGTCTCATTTAGACTCAATTTCTTCAAGTGTAGGTTCGAATTCAAAAACAAAATCTGATTATTGAATTTGTTGAAAAAAATAGGTTTTTTTTGAGTTTGTTATCAACAAACCATTTACATATTTCATTAACTCTCACGCGAGTGTACATAGACGCATTAGATAATGTCTAGAGGAAATCGTAATAACCAAATACACTGAACTTGTCTGTCCGGCATACAATCAATCAAATTAATGAAATTAAGAAACACATTTATTTTTACAGATTAAGAAACAGATTAAAGGAACTATTAAGTTCTGAATTTTTAATCAATAAAAATCTTCCAAGAATAGGATGTGAGAAAAGCATTATGAGTAGTAGGATTGTATACTCTCTTCGATTTATACTGTGACATACCGAAAATAGTCGAAATATTTGGACAATAAGGAGAACTCTCATTGTATTGGAAATAGGCAAAAGATAGATGAACCTGTACTAATGTGTATCTCTGGTGGCGCCAGAGAGGTGAAATAAACGAGATTACGTCAGAAGTAGAAGGGAGCCGGTGAGCAAGGCATGCGAGAGATATGAATGGCAGCTAGCGTCGGTCGATTTTAAACCAGTTGCCGGGGCAAGGGTAAGTAAAATTACGTAATCGAACCAGAGTGTATTGAATTATCGAAGAAAGTAGAGCAAATTTGGATCGAACATATATATGAAATTTGTTAAATTTTTTATAACAGCAGCCCAGGTGAGACGAGTAGATAGAAAATATAACTACATAGAATAAATTAGAGAGTGAGCTAATAAAACTTGAAAATGTGAAATAGGTAGAAATTCATCAACAGCTTGTGTAACCTTGAGCAGAATATTTCAGTGATAAAATAGAAAAAATTACAATACAGACACATTTCTTAATGTTGTTCTTCGCTTTAGGACACCGAGAGCGACTCCATAATCTACATCCCAGACATTCAATCATCTTCTTCCTTTCTCTTTTCGTTCATCGCACATAACTAATTAGATTCAACATCGTAACCCTGTTATTTGTAATCTTTTGAATACCTAATTCTTACTTTCTCATGTACATTGCAGGAATAATTGAAGTAAAATATATGTATAAAAATTATTTTATTCAAAAAAAAACCAAAAGTAAAAAGTTAAAAAAAATATTTAAAAAATCAAACCAAATTTTGGAATGTTCCAAATTAGGAAACAATTATCCACAAAATTCATTAATATAACTTTAAAACTGTTAAAAAATAATTTTCTTTCTTCAGATAGCAATTACGTAACGCAAATTTTGAAGAAAGCGTGAATCTGGCTTAGGAAATTTTCATTTTAACATGCCCATTAAAGATAACATTAATGTTTTAGTTTAAAAAAAATGTCTCATAGAAGTTTAACATTTTGCAGCGTCTGCTTACAACTACAATATTCAATATTCTAGTTATTCAAATAACCTCTCGAGTTGTCCTGGCAGTAAATAATTCTATCACGAAGGGCATGATAAGGGACAATAGTCTAAATCTGTTGCTGATTTACCTGTGCAAATAATTTTTATTGCTCGAGAGCAAATATTTGTGTAATAGTTATTACTAAAAAGCTATTTGCTACGTACGTTCATAATTCAACTTGAAAGATATAACACTTAGGAGAGAGATCTCAGAAACTGAGCACACATTCCACTTTTACCCATCGTAAGTTACACAGTTTTTAATGGTTTTTACGTTTAAGTGAATACATTTTTGTCTCGAAATTCAGCGAGTTTCAGAAACCTGGTTATTGTAATTTAACAAACGAATATATCAAGTGTAAACATATAACACAAAATATACTATTTTTATGAAACGCTTGTTTACAAAATTTAAATAAATACGAAGTGTCTGTTTTTTTTCTTGTACACCTCGGCCCACCTGCGGCGTCAATGGTTCCAGGGTCCAAGGCATTGCCGACTATGGGCATAGCGAACGGCCCCGGGAATTTGGCGCCCAGACGTATCATGTGAAAGCGGCGTCTGCCCCATCTCCAAAGCGCCAGCGGTAGGGTGAGGGCTGACACGAGCAGCGACGCCGCCCTGGGAAACAGCAAGCCGTCCAGCCGTCCGATTATTTTGGGATATACAGGGGACTAGAGTATATTGTCAACGTTTATTTCAGTGGAACATGTGAATAAGAAGTTCTTTTGAAACACAACCACGTCTCTTACCCATCTTTTTGGAAATACATATTGTACAAAAAAAATGTGTTTGACCGAAAAACTAATATCTCTATCAAGGTGCATCACTGCCTGACTTAAAATAAAACCTCGCCCCCTCTACTTGGGACCTTAAATGGGGACCCCCCATTTTCATTGCATATTCGAATTTTACAATAAAAAATACGTACGCATTGTCTAAAAAATTTTTTGTGATTGCTTACATTGACTACTATGACTAAACCTTACTGACACTACTCCAATCGAAAACAAATAAATTTACCGTAGGTCTCTTTTCACAAAGTTCCGTGGCGAGACAATTTTCAGAAATCAATCAGGAATTTTGTAGTACATTAAAATGAAATATTTGGGTTTCATGCATAAAAATAATCAAATCACGAAAAAAATATTTTATTTAGAGTGATGAAGAACAAAGACTTACTTATTATGAATGGAAAAGAAATTGTAAGGTGCGAGTGTTGTATTATACACGGTTTAGGAATCTGAGGATTCACAATACAAGAATGGTATTTCGCTATCCACTCATTCACTACACATACAGTCGCTTTCAATGAATAATTTCTCTAGAAACTTCCCATAACTTTCAAGGGGTTTTGTAGTCAAATCCCAGATACCTAATATTCTCATAAATATCTGCTCACGCATATCCTAGCTCACAACGCTATTTCCAAATAAAGACAATTTTTTTGCGTATACGCAGACGCTGTAACCAACACAGTGATAACCTTTTAACAAACTAATTAATTTACAACGTTTAACAACAAATCCAAAACTTACTGATTATTTAGCGACGTCATCAGAAGGCGTTGTTTCTGCAATACCAGATGCCCCTCAGCTACATTCGAGTAAATATTACTACTATCAGTTAAATTTGTCTTATATAGTATATTAGGGTGTATTTTGAGGGAGCAACAGTCAAGCACGTATTTGCAGGGTACTGCATCTTCGTGTGAACTGTGACTTATCTTGCAATTTTTTCGATACTAAAATGACATGCGGCCTTATCTCGAGGTCGAATCGATGATAAAAGATAAAAAAGCTTGTTCAGGTTACGAAATCGTTATTAGTAGATTCGGCAATCCCCAAATATATAGTTTGCACCAATACGAGTGTCATTCCGATAGCATTGCAAAGCGTGCATGCCAAGCTGATAAAAATCTGTACCAGCCGAAGTGACCAGTAGGCGAATTATTGAGGGGCCATTCCATGGATTATAAGTTTATTTATGCCTCGTAATGGTGACGTCATGTATCTTAATCAGTGATTATTCGATCCAGAAAACCGCTTCGATCCAGTAAAATGTTCAACTTCATATTGGGTCGAAAGCTTGAGTGATTGCGTAACCCAACTTGCGCACAATTTTCGGTAACTCTGTTTGCTCAGAGTTGCCTCAAATGCATTGCAGTCCATGCTCAGCGACTTCAGTAGTTCACGATCACCGTAGACAGCACGTATCCCCTTCCATTCGCACGGATGAGCTGATCGAAGAGCTCCGTCATTGCGTTGTGTAGCAGCTGTGCGTCGACAACCACAACTTGGTTTGTCTTTCGCGTCACTGTCACCACCGCTGAAACTCACTACCCATCATCGCCACACTGTAGGAACATCCCCTCTATGTTTCTCGTAAATCTTCAGCAAGCGATTGTGGATGTCAATACGTGCAATTTTCTCCGATGTGAGACATTTATTCACACATCTTTGCTTCTGACGCGCATTTCAGCTTGACGCTATTTTAGAGTGCCATTACTGAGTTTCTATCTGACAAATAAGAACGAAATTAAACGAACATTAACGGGAAGGATAACATTCGAAAATGATACTATTCACATGCGATTATGAGGTCATCCGCCAAAGTCAAAAAATGCGAGGCATAATTTCGGAACGACCTACGTATGTATAGTTCTCAAAGAACAATTCAGTGCTGTGAAAAACATTTCAACCTACCATCAACTGTTAAGAATCTCCGACCTCTATATTCATCACCGGCCCAGCCGGGACAAGCTCTAAATTTCCCGTCCTGTGTTAGTGCATGTAAGTGTAAGTATGTGTAAGAGGTAGGATAGGACAAGAAAATGGAAGGAAAGATCGCGCGTAGCTCGTGGCCCATATGATAATGCATTGCTCCGACATTCGCCTGGTACTCATCGGTGAACTACAGAAAAACACCCATCAGAGTAGCCAGCCACTGCTCATATTTCACCTTCAGACAGCGTCAGAACTCGACCCTGCTATGAAGGTAGTGTCGAAAATCCTATCACCGTCGGTATTCGAACCTAGAACCTCCTGGCCAGAGGCATTGCCGTGACAGCAGTTGACGCCCCTGAGCTACCTATCCGAGTCCAAAATGTCGAAAAGGTACTGCGTACTAAAATTGGGTTCATTGATACAGCCACCTATGATTCGTTCACCCGCCTACGCGGTATTCGCGAGGGGAATTTGCAAAGAGAATTCGCAAGGAGCGTAACAGAATAGTAAGAATCGGTCTTCTATCTTCGTAGTAATGGGAAGGGAACGCGGTAAGGCTCTAATGTAATAATAATTTAGATGTCACGTAATCGACTCTCGGCAGGTGATTTGTCTGATTAGTTGACATAACTGAGTTCTGATCGCCTTCCGTGATCGTGAAGTCGTAGGCTGTGATGTGTGGTTTTCCTTGTCCCTGATGTCTTTCAAGCCAAAAATGGAGCGTTCGATGCTTCCTTATTCCCCTCTCCTTCCCATTGTGCGAGTAGAAGGGCAAGCGTAGGGTAAATTAATTTACCCTGTCACACACAATAACAACGATAGCTACTTAAATGCTTGTCGCGAATAGCTTGATTACCAGGTTATGATTGATTTCATAAGATGGGGAAGGGGTAGTTATAAAGTCCTGTACTGAGGATTTGGACAATAAGAATGCAAATATCATAAAAAATATATAATAATCCAGCAAGCAAATAATATATCAAATAAATTAACAAATCATACTGAGATGTTGCAATGACAGAGACATGATCATTATCGATAATATCTTTTCACACAGTAAAATATGTTGTTAATACAATACAGTTAACAATCCTTGTTAATGCACTTTATGGTGAAATAGATGATCACAGATCAAGGACACAAGTAATGGTAGCCATATGCACAATGAACTACATAATATGAAAGTTGAAAGACAATAAGAACCTGTTGAGCAGTGCTTCCAGCATTCCTAATATTCGTCTTTGTAATATAGAAAAACACTACAATACATTTTGATAAGACTTCCACTAACGTGCGAACGATTTTGATTGACTAGCACTTGGCTGAGATATTATGTAAATAATGATTGATTTTAGACAATGGAAATGCTTATGTAGTTTTCGAGATTGCACTTAAATTGAAATGAAACTTATCTGAAAATGAATGTTACAGATGTCCAATAGGTCAGTAGTAGCGCACCCACCACTTACCAGGTCATGCGGGCATGGTGAAAACCCAAAGTTTGATCACCATGGTAAAGTATATCAGTGGGTTTTTAACGCATGCTTTAAAGAGGAAAACTGAGTTTCTCCGTACTGGCTGCAGGAAGCGAGTGAATGAGCGAAATGAATGAATGAGCAATCAGCTCCACGGTCTATGGTGACTGTGGCGACAGGGGCGGCGAACACAGACGGCCGCCTGTTAATATACTTCGATTATACGGCGGCTGCGAGGGGCGGCGCCTCGAGGCTATGGGAGCCACCCCCCCCCTCGTGCCGCACACAGTCACTGACTAGTGGGAGCCGTGTCGCGAGGGAAACACTCAATGTTTACGAGTGAGGGCTTTTTTTGTATGCGGTTACCACCAATATGTTGCCCGAAAGTTCGGGAAACGATGGTTATTCGTTCGAATTATGCACGGAAAATTGCCAATCTTAGCTGAAAAGCGATAAAAAACATACTTCCACTGTATGTGAGTTAATATAGAATGGCAACTGTAATTCTATCAAACTCACTAACTGCCTTCCCTCTTTTGTTCCAAGTAATGCCGCCACACTTTCGGTATCGCTGACAAATAATGCCGGGGGATCAGTCGAGAGCTTAGAGCTTGTCTCAGCTGAGGCGGTGTCCAGCTGGTGGGAGATACCATGTGGGAGAAAACCCCGTTAGCTCGAGGTAAGTCGGCGCCTGATCTCGCCAGTCATTGGGTAACTATCAATGCCACCCTCCGAGCAAAAACATACACCACACGCGGGTCGACTGATCTTAGTATTTTAACGCTCCCTGAATCACGAACAACCAACCATCGGTATCGCTGAGAATTGAAGCTATTGGAGCATGATTTCGATTCACGCCAAAGGCGCAAATTTTTTTGATTTATTTGACCATCGCATAAACATAAATACTCATTTAATACTCTCTTCTGGTCTTTTAATCGTTAAAATATAAAATGTATAAAAATAGTGTGTTATAAGGCTTTATAAGACATTATGCTGTGCTTATACAATACGTCTACTCACCAAGTGCGTGGAATTTGACAGTTGTCTTCCGGGCGGTCGAGCCGATAATCGCGCGGGCGCAACCCTGTGGGTTCCCCTGACCCGGCGTGGCGAAATAGGCCGTTCCTGTACGACACATATGTTTACTTTGTGCACAGAAAGTAATGAGATTTCCGTTAACGCAAATTATCAGTATTTATCCACCCAGACAATTAACAAGGTACGAAAAGGATGTGTCGGGAAAGAAGTAGCAAATGGGCAGTGAGCATGTTGCATCACTTTCAAAATGTGTCACTATGCAAATAGCAGCGTTTCGAAACAAGGGGTTTTGTGAAAGTTGATGATTCAAGAGGGGTCAGTAATTAGTCTGAGGGCCGCTAAATCTCCAGGTGTGGTGTTGTGTTGAAGTACAGAATACTTAAAAACAAAGCAAGCACAAAACCGGCGTGTCATAAGAATTGAAAGAAATGTGAAATAATTACAGAATTGATTATTATTTTATTAATGAAATCATATTTCGGATTTATGAACATTGTAATCACTAATGGATATCAAGAGAAATTTAAGGTTTAAGAGTCTTAATATTTGTCACCAACCAGCTTTGAAGGCTTTAAAGGTAATGTGAATACAACGGAGGTTTGTTTAAGGGTGCGAGGAAGGAAATTCCATCTCACATTCTTCTGGATTAAACAGAAATAAAATATTAACGTTTGTTTAAAATGGATTTATTTAAGGTCACTTTATATCATCTACTGGCTCTTGGCTATCTCTTGATCAGCGTTATTTTTTTCCCCTACGCGGCCCCGCGTTCGATTCCCGATTGAGCCAAGACAATAGTGTTCGTTTTACTTGCAATGTTCCAGTATATGTTACTGTGTGACGATGAGAAAATTCACGTTCCAGATTGAGAAGACAGGAATACGGTGTGGGGGTGTCTACGTGCTAAGCGCACTTACCCCCTTGACCGCACTTACCTCCGCGAGGCAGGGATGTCGCCGGTAGCCCTGAGCCAGTTCACGGGCTGCAGCGCCAAGTACATACATACATTTATAACATCTAGGTCATAAGCGACATTTTCACAGCATACTATGCTTAATCTAACTTCTAATACAATATTCATAGCTATTAATGACTGTTAAGTGTAGTAATTTCTAAGAGATTTACTACTTTTGCACATCCATCTGTGGAATTGAGCAGTGATTTTAGGGTCCTTTGATTTTCAGAAGTTTTCTTATTTTATTTCTAGCGTTAAAGAATGGAATGGGCGGTGGAGACTACTGGACCACTCTTTGGACAAGGTTCCGTATCTGACCTTTTAAATATATTTTTTTGCTTCACTGAAAATGTTCAAATGTTACGTTCTTAGCTGTAAGAAAATGTATTTGAAAAGAGCTTGAAGTTATCAGGCTTTTACTCTACGCTAAAACGATCAAAATCAATGCAGATCACTTTAAGGAGAAACTCAAACTCCCCTTCTGTTATGGGTAATCACTAGAGTTATCACAGGTAATTACATATTTGTTATCTTTCAACTTACCGTTCTAAAAATTGTACTCTTTGCGAATCGTCGTTGCCCTAACACAATACCAAAATTTCCGTTACATATTATTACACATTTAGTATAATTTTACATATTTTGCTATTTTTACGGAATATTTTTTCTATTTTATCAATTATCTTCAATTTTATTACATTTTTTATGAAAAAAAGTATTTTCAAAACAATTGCATTTCTTCCTACATTTGTGTACTGCCTACGTGAGGTAGTAAGTCACTTGAAGGAGGGGTCAAGGTTCGCACAGTGCGGCGCGTCTACTTCAGTTACGTCATTGATAGGAACTGCGCGTCAGTGATTGAGATCAGTTTCACCTTTAGTGTGTAAAATATTACTGATGCCGCGCAGATATCACTGACGTAGATATCGCAGGATGTACGATCACATCTATTACTTCTAATGTAGCTGCTAAACGACGTAACTGAAGAGCATTTAATGAAGGATTTGCAACTACTAGGAAAGCTATATGATGCAAAGCGTGCATAAATTTGTACTCTCCAAATTATTTTTAAAACTTATTTGTAGTATTATTGCTTGCATTATGATAACTGGTATTATTTTTAAAATTTGTTAATGAATTATTCTATAAATAGAATTTTATATACTGCAAATATTTGTTTTATAATCAGTGTACATAAACATTACATATTATGTCCGATTTTATTCTATTATGAACATATTTTACGATTCATACTAATTTTTCCGATCTCTACTTATCAAACATACATTACATAGTGCTGTTAGGGCTATAAGAGATATAAATTATTTCATAAACATATACGAGAAGCCACTGATACAATAAGTAGAATATTAAAGATATTGACTGAACAAAATCGTTTCCTACTTACTGTTCCGTCACCAATCACCGTACCCATAGTAATATCTACATTTAATACGTGCAGATATTTAATACATCTAACTAGAAACGTGTTGGTGAGCTCAAAGGAATCGGAGGAAACGTTAAAACTACTCGCGTTACCGTCATTAATGAAGGATATAAATGAAGTTGGTTACGTAATCAGCCACTAGATTTTATGAAGCATTACCAATCTTTAAAGAATCAGTCATGACTTCTCAATAATTTGCGTTCTAACATTCAGAGTTCGAGGTTTCTCCTCTGCTAGATCTTCACCTGCATTGGTCATTTCTTTTCATTTTTTTCGAGAAAATCACAGACATATGTTTTCAACAGAAAATAGTTTATATTTCGCGCCAGTAAAGATGGTTTTGGTATGTTGTCATCACTGCTCACTGCGAGCTTTTGCCTTCAACTGTTAATTGTGCCAGAGAGGAGGAAACAAAGTAAGAACAAGTTAAGAAGGGTACACTGGTGCTGGACTAAGGCAGCTGTGAGAAATGCACTTCTCAAACTCCATGCATTTACCACTATCATGTGTAATGAAATGGGACATGATACCGGACTGAGGAATAACAAATATTGTTTTATTCGTTTAATAATACTCTTATATAAGATACAGTCAAATTCCACATGCATAGTTAATTTTACACAAATGTAACTAGCACTTTAATTTACTTACTGGTTGTTCTAACTGCAAAAAATTCAAAAGTACGATTTTACTCCACATCACTCAATGCTTTTCTTTCATTGCTTATGCAAAAAAGAATATACCCGTTTAAATTGATATGGCCGTTACGATTATAAGTTAATTATCGTTTCAAAAAACAGTCTTAAGTTTGACGACAGTTTCTTCTGCTACCGCCACCTACTGAGATCAGCTATTGAGGAGACCCATATCAAAAGAATGACGAATGGACGAGTCACGTGTGCTATCTCCGCTGTTCCAGCCTCAAGCGCACGCCATTCTCGGTTTTCAGGACGAGCTTCCAGGACATCTGTGGCTCGAAATCCAGGTCCGGCAGGATGCGGAAGTTCCACACCACCTTAGCGATGATGCTCTTCAGTTCCAGCATGGCAAATCGTTGGCCTGGGGACAGACATTTGTAATTTATTTCTGAAATTATGAAGGAAGAAAATTAGGAACGTACTCGTTTCGCGCACAAGATGATACGTATACATACAGATACTCACGTCTTACGCATATATTGGTAACTTTTCTACAGGACAAACAGAGTTAAAGTGTCTGGAATTGGTAATATACATGACGATTCTATATTATTCATACAAACGCAAACACACACGAACATTAATACAGAGTTGGAAAGGTTGGAAAATGCATAAGTTGGCCGTGTGGTAAGAAAAAATTAAATGTCGACGTGTGTCCTCTTGGAAAAGTTCATTTTGACAATTTCAATATTGAACCGGGAAGATAAAATATCGTAAACCGGGAAGACTGCGCCCAACACGGTAACAGACTCAGTTTTAAAACATTCAGTTTGTTTCTCCATGAATGCTTGCATATGTTGTAGTAGATGATGTGTTCTATGGTTTCGCCTGTAGCATAATTAATGCCTGGTGAACATTGGACATTTTTGATAAATCTAAGAGTTGTGAACTGACAAGTCGATATTCATAAGGAATTTTTGAAGATATCCTCAATCTAAGATGCATGATACCAAATTAATGATCATATTAATTTACTAATGACTATTACTAGTAATTCCCCCTTTCTATATCGAAAAGCCTAAAAACATTAGGAAATGATGAGAGCAAGGAGGATAACTTTAAACGGAACCAGTAATATTTACGTCTCCATCTTCGCAATTATAATCATTTTCCTTGGAAATCAAGGTTCATGAGATGCAAGAGGATTTAAAACGAGACTCCTTTCTTGAGTAACAATAATTTTAAATTATGCTAGAATGTTGTATGCCAACCAACAAACCATTTTGCTATTAAAAATTCCACACAATATTCTTAATGATTTGTGACGACCAAAATATACTCGTTTGAAGAGATTTGTATTCTTGAAAATATATTTGGGCGATGAGAATGACCGTGAGAGACTTCCCCTTCCCTGCATCATTCACAGGTGAAGGAAAGGCGACGTCTGGAATCACACTGGATTTCGTCTCGGAGAATATGTCGAAAACTTATGTAAACTCTCTTGTTAACTCTTGCGTGTAGACGTTATGTTGCGCACTGACTTCACTGTTTGGAACCTTCTACATTTTCTTCAAGTACTAGAGGCAAACGCATGCTGTCTGCGAATCAGCGAACTCTTATGATTCTTCTTTGCAATAACGATTTTCTGTACTATAGCGGTACACTAGTTCTCGTTAGTTACTACTTTTCACGAACCCTTACAATAAACAAAAATTGAGGAAATGTATATAACGTCACTGACTCACCTCACCTGTTCATTCTCTGGATAGATATTTCCATTGAAACAAATAGACGCGAAGACCAACATAATGTAGAATGGTAAGCCTATTGTGCTTCATTTTTAAGAGTTACTTCTAGGTTCAAAACACGTGTTCATAGAAACAATTTTATGCTCTTTTCTGTCGAGATTTGCCTTCCTGTATTTCCGGTGAAATTTGCAATCTTCTCCATTACCATTTAACCACGTATAGTCTATGTAATGCTTTCAGACTGAAGTTCACATTTCTCCATATGCCATACGCAGTAACAGGAGATTGGAAGAAAGCGTGTTCTGGAATGCTGTCCGTAAAAACGCGTCAGCTCAAAAGGATTAGTATATGACAGAATGACATATCAAGCGAATAGACGGCAGCGACTGTCCCTTTTTTAGAAACCATTCGTGGAATCATTCATGTTAATTTCTGGATTTGATGTTCTTTTGTTGGAAACACTTCGAACGTTCCGATGGTAATGCTCTTAAACGGATAGCCAATTACACCTTGACCATGATGTTCGACGGGCTTACCAATGCAGTTGCGTGGCCCGGCGCTGAAGGGCAGGTAGGCGTACGGGTGACGTTTGGCACTCTCCTCTGTTGAGAAGCGTTCGGGGTCGAACCTCGTAGGAAATGGATACAGTGCTTCGTAGCGGTGAATGCCAAATACGTGCACTTCCGTCAATGAACCAGCTGGCAATACATGTCCGGCTGGAAGGAAATGGAGGGATATTACACCGCCTGATTTCAATATAATCTGCACAGTTCAGTTACATTACTTTGATTTCCCAATCATAACAGTATACAAGTATATCTCACAAGGGAACAAACGTATTATTTTTGACTGTTAATCTTATAAAAACTATTGGCTACATTACTCTTTAGAAACAATTTAAACGGAACCAGTGATATTTTTATTTAATACCTGCATTTACATCATATTAAAAAGAAATATTTGGATTTGCTTACAAAAAGCTTTTAATGTTAAGTTTTCGATAATTATTTAAATACATACTCGTCGGTAGTTTCTCGTCTTGGTGGATATCTCTATAAAATAGCGGAACAGGTGGGTATATTCGGAGAGACTCTTTGACTACCATTTCGAGGTATTTCAATTCCGAAATTTGTTGCATAGTTGGTTCTAGAGGCTGTGAACTGTCAAACACTGTCTTCAGTTCCTCGAGAACTTTTTCCTAAAGAAGAGAACCAAACATAGTAAGGTTGGATGCTTCTTGATAAACATGTGTTCAATATTTTTTGAATTTCTTTACTCACCTGAATATCTTGATGACGGGATAGTGCAAACATGGTAAACGAGAGTGCAGATGCTGAAGTATCATGGCCCTGAAAACGGAATTGATCAATACAAAAAATTAAATTAAACACACTTAAATTCTGTTTTATTAGTGGCGTGGGAAATGGTCTAACCCATGATGCAAGGACATGGGTGTGCTGCTTCCCCACACAAATGTGTGCTCTTCTTTCGCACTGCCGGATGCGTCACGAACCAATGAACATCATCACGGTTCCTTCGTTTGAAAACGTAGGCCAGATGATGTTGGTCATTTGACATGGAAAACGAGCAGGGCCAATGAGAAACATTTTGAAAGTGGCTACAAATGATAATTTTCAACGGTGACCCACCAAAAATTATACGATGAAGGTATAGCTGAAATATGCAAATAAAAAAACTTCAAATCGTTTCGATGATTTGTAAGAAGGTGATAGTTGCTATCTGGGTGGATTTAAAATTCCCGCTCAGATCGTGACGCAAACTGGTGCTTGAAGCTCATTGACTGAAACCGGGTAAGCTACGCAACACCACATCCATGTCATTGCATCATGAACCAACTATGAGCGACGGACGGACGCAGTATACTCGATTAATATGCAAGGTTATTACTAATTTTCAATACCCGTAGTAAATAAAAGAATAATATGTAGTCCTCGGCCGTATGTATGGTCGTGTTAAATATAAGTTAACTCGTGAAAATCCAAAAAAAGTATAAAACAGTTTCCATTTTGACAAAAAATGCAATTTTTTAATTGCATTATTCCGCCTATACTTAGGTTTCGAATGCAGTACGGTGTGTATTGATTGAATTATCATACTAATTCACCACTTCCAACGCCACAGCTGTGGTAATGCGACCGCAAGGCTCCCAGGAAGAGGCTGCCCACCATTAAATATTTTCTATTCATTTCTCTCTTCTTTGTATGAACCAGCAATTTTTTCAAAATATTTTTTTTTATGTGTAGAACTTGTGTCCATGTGTACTATATCATGTTAATCCAGGATTCATGAAGATTATGTTGGTTAAATTATTTAATTTCTTGTGATGCTATAATAAACGTTTATAGCATATTTTTTCGAAACCTAATTTCTGTAGTTTTGATCGTAGAATTTGTGCTACTGCAGGCAACTAGTAACAAAATAAAATCGTTATGAGCAAAAAGGAAGTCAGAGAGCACCGCTCATTCATAATAGTGATTCCTAGACGTAATTCATATTTGTGATTTTCCTTTAATTGGCTCCATAATAGATGCGTATCGCTGTTTGCAACGACAAACATATCTTTACCTTTTAAAATGGTTTA